TCAGAAGCATTGGCCATATATGTTAATGTTGTAGCTAACACGTTCGTTTCCATGCGCTCATTTGTGTCTCCTAGAAGGCCAGCAACCGTGGCGCCGACTGCGTCTTCATAGAGAAGGTTCTGGAAAACAACTACACCGCGCTAATGTCTGCGCGCTACACAGGATGGTACGTGGGCTTCACCAAAAGAGGGCGTCCTCGCCGCGGGCCGCACACGCTTCCCAACCAGCAGGACGTCCACTTCATGAAGCGCTTCCCGCCTGGAGAACAGCCGGACCTGATGCCGTTTCGCTTCACTACAGTCAGCAAGCGGAGCAAAAAAGTCCGCGCAGCGCGACCACGCTAACAGCGTGGACATCCCAATGCTAACGTTTACAGGATGAAGCGGGATTAGAAACTCAAGCAGGACCGTCCCGTCTTCCTTTAACAGACAATGAGGGTTGCATGACTTTTTATTCCACTGGGTTGGAGCTACAACCATAGTACTAAATACTAGCTAATTTCCAGCAGAGCTGTGGTTTTTTTACGACAGCTCTCTCTTCTCTGATATGGAGATGACTAACCAAAGCAGACACAAGCAAAACAGCCGGCCCAGACGCGGGGCGGAGGATGAATAACCCAAAACATGAGCACAGCGGCCTGTGGATGCAGAGCGGCCTGAGATTTGGACGTGATCCCGCTTGAGGGAGAGCAGCAGATATACCTGAAACAGACACTGAGAGTGGAGAAACTAATGACAGAGAGGCCAAAAATGAAGATTCAGGGATGCGGTGCTCACCTCGTGTCAACTGAACTTTCACCAAACAGTTCATAGTGAAGGTGTCGATGTAGCTTTTGGAGGAACCAGAAACACTTTGATAGCGGTTGCTGTAATACATTCATTCAGGCAAGATGGTCTATGCAACAGCTTTGTGTGAGGAAAAGACACAATTTAAGTTATTTTTTATAATAATAATAATAACTAAGATGATGATGATGATTAATAGTAATAATAACAATAATAATGATCATTCGGTATGGGTCGTTATTGAACGATTCGTCCATTTTCAACGAATCTTCAATATGACTCAGGAACTACGAGTCCTCTCAGGGAGTGATTCGTTCATCCGCGCGCGCGCACATTTGTGCAGGTGGAATCGTTCATTTCAAGTCTTTTGAGTCGTTTATGGCGGAAAGGCAGTAGCCAATCATTTGGTTTAGAGCCAGAAAAAGAATTCCCTGCTGAAAAAAACAGCTTAAACCAGCCTAGGCTGGTTTAAACCAGTCTTAGCTGGTCAGGCTGGGAGATGACCAGCTAAAACCAGCTTGACCAGCCTAGCCAGGCTGGGAGCCCAGCCAAAACCAGCTATGTCCAGCTTAAACCAGGCTGGTCAAGCTGGTTTTAGCTGGATTTAGCTGATCATTTTCCAGCCTGACCAGCTAAGACCAGGCTGGAAATGGCTGGAAACCAGCCCAAAAATGGCCAAAACCCCTCTAAAACCAGCCTGGGCGACCAGCTAAAACCATCCAACCAGCCTAGGCTGGTTTAAGCTGGATTTTTCAGCAGGGTTGAACCATTCACCTCTCGAGTCCTCTATTGGGTTTGAGTCATTCGTTCCTCACGGGCCGATCATATGCGTTTAGAGCTGGAAAAAGAATTGAACCGTTAATCTCTCGAGTCCTCGGGTTTGAGTCATTCTGTCACGTGATGAACAAACGACTCAAGAACCAGACGAAAAAAGAAAAAGAATGAATGAATGATAATAATAATAATTATTATCACTGCCGCCTAATAATAATAATTATTCTTATTAGGCGACAGTTATTAGCTAAATTGGCTGTAGTTTATGAGTGTGTGAGTGTGTATGTATGAGAGTATATGGGTGTTTTACAGTGTTGGGTTGTGGCTGGAAGGGCATCCGATGTGTATAACATATGACAGAATAGTTGGTGGTT